GGGGGGGGGGGGGTGATTAAGTCAGGAAATAGACTAGTGTGAACGAAAGGGTACGGGGAAGGGATGAGGCGCAATTCGATCGAGCCTTCTCTTTACATTGAAAACGAGCCTGATTCGCGTAAAGCACTCGACCTCATAAGCATTCATCGAGAAAGATTTTTATTTTGATTCGCAGCAGCGAGCGGCAATAAATCGTTGCAGCTAATTCTGAAATGCGAATTCGAACCGATTCGAATTTTATCCACCCATTGAATACAATTATCGGTAAATTCAGGGTGGATCGGTTCCCTTGATTTTGGTAGGTCCTGCCAATTTTTTCTTTTTACCTAAGGTCCTAGGGGTGTATTATTCGTAAGGTGTGCTAGTCGCAAAAATGTATTAGATAAATTTTCCAACCGATCGATAACAGTAAATATACCTATAGCGTGTATCAGCTTTTACTAATCCCACGTACATTTGATACGTACAGCACTATGTCATTGCAACGCGACGTCAAAGTATCGAATAAAAGGCAATAGCTATAGTTTATTCCACAGTATGGGTAACGTGTTGCGTCCGGAGGTGAAATACAATCGGATTGTACGTGATTTTGAACGAAATACCCTGTACTCGTTGATTCTTGAAAAAAAAAAAAAAAAAAAAAAATGTGGGAAAAACTTTTTCACAACACACGCAGTCGATAAAACAGGCGAATCGAATGTTGGAATAAAAAGCGTTCTGACTTACCGACGATGGTAATCAGGATCAGAAGGCTGAGGATGGTCGCGATGACGATCATAACGACGAGATCATGTTCGGAACCTGGATGAATGGGACTTGATGGATTCCAGGTAGAATTTTCAGTGCGATTTATGGCGGCCTCCTGTTCCGCTGTACCATTCCAATTGGATCCTAGTGACGTAATCGGCAGACTTGAATTTGGTGCGGTGCCACGTACTGCCATTCCCCATGTCCACCATAGTCTCTCTCCACCCATCACTAATTCGATTATTAATGATCTTAGAAATTTCTACGACCAATCTCGTTATTATTACCTAATTCGATAAATTATTTTTTCTACATTATTACCTGAACTAAACTCGATCAGCGCATCACGTATTTTCTTCCTATAAGCCCAGCATCACGTGACCGATGCAATGGACGTTTCAAGCTTTTTGTCTGGCATCTGAAATTGAAAAATGAACGACAATAAGTTTTCGATTTATCATATGGAACATTCATTATATACAGTATCGTACGTGACCACGTACTACGGGTGGGAGAATATTGTGCTTATCGGTTTCGGTGTACGGGTAGTGATGATGGCGGAGAGTGGGCATATCGTGAAGGTGGTTTTCATGCGACACAAAAATATCCGACGCAATTCGCTATCTGAAATGACGTATCGAAATACGCGTACGGGCGACGACGCACAATCGTCTGATCTTGTCCGTGAGGCTTCTGTTTCATTTATTATTTGTATTCCTGTATTTCCATCTAATTTGACTAAATAAAAAATAACATGTACAATTCACAGATTTGCGATATTCCATCACCCCACCCCCACCCCCCC